TTTCCTGCACTTGCAATTAATCTTAGCTCATCTATCTTATTTCTTACACTCCTGCTATTAGTATAGTAAACCTTAAGGGAGCTAGTCCCTTGCTGCCCTCTGCTGTCCCCCTTTGTTTGCTGACCTGATCTATTGTCTTTATTTATAACTTCATGCTGAATGCCTTTTATACATTTACTGTTTCCAACCCAAGTGTTGCAACCTGCTTGTTTCCCACACACACCCATACCTAAATGAAGGTTTACTTGACAGGAATACCTATGTACAGGAGGTACTTGAGAGGGATATCTAGAGGGTGTACTTGAGAGGTATACCCATGTGAAGATGAGTTTAGATACAGGCAGACTTGAAGCAGCAAAGATAAGAGAGAGAGAGAGAGAGAGAGAGAGAGAGAGAGAGAGGAGAGAGAGAGAGAGAGAGAGAGAGAGAGAGAGAGAGAGAGAGAGAGAGAGAGATAAGTGACTTAGGAAGTCTGATATATAATTGAGAAAGTAGATTCAGTAGTGTAGGTGGAGAGTTGCAGATTTCCATAATCTTATAAGTGATTTCATGTACTAGTTACTGTCTCGGTGACCTTATTATTGTCCTGGTGACCTTATTATTGTCCTGGTGACCTTATTATCCTAGTGACCTTATTGTCCTAGTGATCTTATTGTCCCAATGACCTTATTATTGTCCTAGTGACATTATTGTCCTAGCTACCTTATTGTCCCAATGGCCTTATTGTCCTAACGGCCTGTAACTTGTCCCAGTTACTTATTACTGTCCCAGTGACCTTATTACTTTCCCAGTGACCTTATTACTGTCCCAGTGACCTTATTACTGTCCCAGTGACCTTATTCCTGTCTCAGTGATCTCACGTTTCCAGACAGGTAGCTAAGCTCTCTCTCTCTCTCTCTCTCTCTCTCTCTCTCTCTCTCTCTCTCTCTGTGGCACATTTCAGGACTTTTTTTTTTTACATTCAACCATTCAAGGTGCAGCAACATTTTTTTTTAAGAGTTGCGGAATAATCATGTGTGTGTGTGGAAGGGGGGAGGGGAAGAGGGGCAGGGAAAGAGGGGCAGGGGTAGGAGGGGCAGGGGTAGGAGGGGAGGTGTAGGAGGGAGGGGAGGTGTAGGAGGGAGGCGATTATCACTACTTACCGAACGCTAAGCAATTAAGATCATTATCCCCCGCCACAGTCATCCTCCACCGTGAAAATGATTGTGAAGGGATGACAGAGGAAAGGGAGGAGATGGAGGACAGAAGAAATGTGTTGAAACTACCTTGTAATGTCTTTGTAGCATTTAATTGTAATTGCAGCATTGTAATATATATATATATATATATATATATATATATATATATATATATATATATATATATATAATATATATATATATATATATATATATGCAAGGAATTCGCAAGAGAAGGCGAAATATACACACACTGATCTCTGGCTGAAGGAGACTCGAACCTACGAACCTTGGAAGAAGGTACGCAGTGCTTTACCAATCTACCCACACTGGACCAATACCTTGGAGTCCAGCTTGCGCTAGACTTTGATCCAAGGCAGGTTCGAGTCTCATTCAGCCAGAGATCAGCGTTTGTGTATATTTCGCCTGCTCTTGCGAATTCCTTGCATTGTTAATATCTCTAGTAAGGCTGATGCATGCAGGGGATAAGATGAAAAGCTGTAAGCCTTCTCCCTGAAAGCTGGCTGCCTTGGATCAAAGTCGCGCAAGCTGGACTCCAAGGTATTGGTCCAGTGTGGGTAGATTGGTAAAGTACTGCGTATCTTCTTCCAAGGTTCGTAGGTTCGAGTCTCCTTCAGCCAGAGATCAGTGTTTGTATATAATATATATATATATATATATATATATATATATATATATATATATATATATATATATATATATATATTAATATGCATGGGGAAGTGGAACAGAATTCTTCCTCCGTAAGCTATGCGTGTCCTGAGAGGCAATAGTAATGTTCCAAGTGCTTTCGTAATTTCTCACATTATCAAGGGACTATGAAAATAATTAGACAAGACTTATAAAGCTGAAATATGACCTCACATGTGACTCTACCCACTTATCGAGGAAATTCCTTTCCATTGTTGTGAAGATTTTAGTCAGGTCACAGGTCAGGTAAAATTTAAGAGGGACGTGTCGGGCAGCGGAGAAGTTTTTATCAACACAGTTTATACTCCTCACAAATTCTGGTCGTTGTAAATTTATCTAATTCGTAGAAGTTCTAGACTTATATTCGTATTGCAATCAGTACTGTTTTTTATAAGTCTAGATTCTTAATATATTTCGTTCAGCCATGGACTTGCTTGATACGACTTTCTCGGTCGTTTGAAAACAAAAGAGTGGTTAAAGTCTCTCATATAAATAAAAAGAGCAGTAGACCAGACAAGCACCATACGAGCCTGGTTCAAGGCCGGGCTCTGGGAGTAGAAAAACTCTTTGAACTCGTGCAAGGAAAAGGCAAGACTTTTTTTTTCCAGCTTGACCAAAATAAAATTTCTGTACATAATTGGTATACAATACCGACAAGATGAAGTATTAGGCACATATGCAACATCTGGGTATCTTTATTTGTAGACGTTTCGCCAACCACTGGTTTTATCAGTACAATACAAGGTCGTAATGTGAAGAATTATATACAAAAGATGAGATAATCAGTCCCTCAGCCTTGGAGATGATGAAGAGCATCGTAGTCCAACACCTGTCGCCAGTATATAAGCGCCAAACTCCATGACTGATGATTAACTCATCTTTTGCATATAATTCTCCACATTATGTCTTTGTGTTGCACTCCGCCACTGGTTGGCGATAAGCCTACAAATAAAGATACTCAGATGTTGTCCATGTGTCTATCATCAAAATTTATTATTTTGTGCAGAGAATTTAATAAACACAGCACTTAGCATTGTGGGAGAAATTCTTAAACAACTATTTTTTTTTTTTACTACATCAAAATTTTTAAATATAACTTGGATTTTGAAGTTCTTAAGCAGAGAAGATATATTAAGGAAGTTTTTGTAATATGGGAGAACCAACATATTCATATCTCAGCTTTATAAGGCTTCTGTTGTCTCATTATTTTTACTGTTCCTTGATAATACGGGAAAATTCCAAAAGTGTTTCTCATAATACTAATTTTTCACTTTATGTATATATATACTTCTATATTTTCGTTCGCCTCGCCCCTCCTCTTCTTTCTATCATTCTCTCCTCTCGTACTAGAGAAGCTTAAGATCAGCCGCCTCCATGTGGTGAGTTCTGGGTATTTTGTATGAATGTACGTAATCTGTCATACAAAACAGCTGACAGCTGCGATGTATGTATTGTCTGCGGTCAAAATGTACATAAATAAGATGAAATCTGATTGAATCCCATTACACGAGCGCCGGTTCAGTGTTCAAAAGGAATATAATAATCCTTCCTCTCTTATCCCTCCCACCTTCCCCTCCTCTTCCTTCTATCACTCAATCCTCTCATCCCTTCCATATTCTTTCCGTACCTCGATATCTTCTCGGCGCACTCCCGCTTCACCTGTCCACCCGGAGCAGCTCAGCGTTCGTGGATGTAGTCGCCTCTGTCTTGTGACGTCACGCCACCGTTCGCCTGGGATTAACTGGGATTACATCAGTTCTCACTCCACAGTTGCCACCTACTAATTGCTCGCCTTATTCAAGCCCCGCCTAAGCTCAGTGGGCAATCCTGGATGTCAGAGTAACTGTGACTGTCAAGTCTAGAGTTGGAAAGCTTATTGTGAATGTCCTTGACGTTGGTGAGGAGTCTGACATGTGTGTGTATATATATATATATATATATATATATTATATATATATATATATATATATATATATATATATATATATATATATATATATATATATAATTCTGTGTATATATTCCAATATAAGAGTGTGTGTACCTGTAAGTATTGTCAAGAGGTCATGTTCATTCTTTCTTATGAAAAATAAATACTAAAGCAAGATTAAATATTGTATACAGTACTAAGAGGAAAATATCCACATGATAGAAATTTAGAATTCTATATAAAAACAAATATATAAATTTCAAAATTATATAAAATTTCAAATAAAATTTATCAGAAATCTGGGACAGCCAGTTACCTTAAACTACAAAATTATCGCAAGATGCTGATGATATTCTTGTGCATACTAAAACGTATCGTGGAATACAAACCACTCTGTATCACGGGCTGTGGTTCGTACGTTGGTTTCCAGCAGTAACAGCCTGGTTGATCAGGCCGTGATCCACTGCGAGGCCTGGCCATAGATCGAGTCGAGGGGGCGTTGACCCCCGAAACATCCTCCTGGTATAGACAGCGGGTTCATAATGATCAGTGTTTAACAGTTAAATTTCTGTGGTTGCACTCCCACATAAGCCTCCAGGAGCGTGACATTATTATAATCAAGGGGGAAGCGCTAAACCCGGCTGATTATACAGCGCCTGGGGGGGGGGATGTGGAAGGCATTCAGGCTTAATTCGGGGAACTGGAGCACAGATCCAATTCCCTAAATCAAGAGCCCCTCACCAACATCAAGGAACCTTCCTTGAGGGGCAGGAGCGTGACAGTGTTGATAAAAGAAGCGTACGGAGCACTGTTAGAAAGGAACTAACAAACGAGCGTGAAGTAGCGCAGTACAAATAGCAACTAGCAGAGCATATTATCCATCATAGCGAAATGTGTCAGGGTTTAACATAGCTGTGGAGAAAATAACAAGGTCAGTAGATTGCAAGATTGCTGCTACTGCTAGACTAAAGCTAGCAGTAACAGCGGTTAATAATATAGACTGGAAAAGTGTGTGAACAGAGACAGGGCCATACACTGGAACATTATATCTTAGTGTCCAAATTTCCAACCTTTCAGAGACTCCTTCATGCAAACCTTACACGATATGGCAAAACACCTTATTATTAGAGAACAAAAAGGCACAATACAGTGACTAAGACAATACACAAATATAACCCGCATATAGAGATGAGCTTACGACGACGTTTCGGTCAGACTTGGACCATTTGCAAAGTCACACTTAGCAGGCTCCTTCTCTCCTTCCTGTTTGTGTGACTTTGCAAATGGTTCAAGTCGGACCGAAACGTTATCGTAAGCTCCTCTCTCATGTGTGCGGGTTATATTTCTGTACCTCATTGTTAATATCCGACATCTTGAGGTTCCGAAATCTGCATCGACGAAATGAACGAAATGAATTCAAAGAGATTACAACCCAGTTATGAACATTTTTTAATGGTAAATTTTTGTGTTTCTTACTGTACAGTGTACAACAGCTATATTAAGCAATTATAGAATATAAAATTACTAATATTCCTTTCTAGTGATATAACAATGCTCAGGGGGATCTGACAAAGACCTATTGTGACATCTGTAATCCTGTTTATTGCGCAGCCGTTCACAGGATGAGCTGCGGGTGCACAATAAACTATCCACTCAGGCGTAACACAACTAACCAAGTATCAAGATTTACAGATAAATGTTGTGGCAGCAATGTAGTGTTCTCTCCCAGGTCACCACACACACATTAGTCTCCTCAGGTAGCGATACAGGACGGACTTGTTATATCTTGGTCAACTCGTGAGTGAGAGTAACATGGTCCAACAGACCACTCTCCCAGCCAGGGTACAGTAAACAGTGGTCCAGTAGCAGTTCAGTCACTCCATTTCAGTCACTGCCTGTCGCTCAGACACACCAACTTCAGCAGGCAGGCGGGCTGAAATAAAGCAGATGAATATTAAATCAACGCGACGAGCCGAGTGCTCATAGCTGGCAGTAGAGCTACAGTAGAAGTATAGCAAGATAAGCCAGACACAGAGTGAACTATACCAAAACACAAGAAATTGCGATGCTTAAGAGTGCCAGTATACTTCTCATGTAGACATGGAGAAAACTACAATAACGATGTCAGACTCGTCCAAAATCAAGTTGCGAAGGAGTGAACTTGGAAGAATTCGATAACAGATGGCGCTGAGAGACAAGACCCGCAGAAGAGATCAGAAGCTAGTAGACTCAGACACGTACCTATATTTACTGTACTAAGTATCTGTGTAGATATATACATACGTTATATATATATACACACACGTATGTATCAATAACAACACTGCACTAGCCAAGGATTCGAACCCATGCTGCTTTGGCCTGCCTCATGGTGGGCGAAAACACATGACGCCCTTGTCCACTGAACCATACGATCGTATAGTTCAGTGGATAAGGGTGTCATGTTTTTTCGTCCACCATGAGGCAGGCCAAAGCAGCACGGGTTCGAGTCCTTGGCTAGTGCAGTGTTGTTATTGATCAATACCACTTGTTCGTGGTCACAATAACACACATGTATATTTACTGGTCATATTTTCGATTTATAAAAAAAAAATTAACGTAAGCGAAAATCCTCAAGAATTAAGGATGAAGAAAGTGTTCGTTCTCACGCAGTGATGGAGAAAAGTGGCGGGAAGGTACTCGCCTAGTTGTACTCACCTAGTTGTACTCACCTAGTTGTATTCACCTAGTTGTACTCACCTAGTTGTAGTCACCTAGTTGTAGTCACCTAGTTGTACTCACCTAGTTGTATTCACCTAGTTGTACTCACCTAGTTGTAGTCACCTAGTTGTACTCACCTAGTTGTACTCACCTAGTTGTACTCACCTAGTTGTATTCACCTAGTTGTACTCACCTAGTACTCACCTAGTTGTACTCACTTAGTTGAGGTTGCAGGAGTCTAGTCCTAGCTCCTGGCCCCTCCTCTTCACTGGTCGCTACTAGGTCACTCTCCCTGAACCGTGAGCTTTATCATACCTCTGCTTAAAGCTATGTATGGATCCTGTCTCCACTACATCGCTTCCCGAACTATTCCACTTCCTGACTACTCTGTGGCTGAAGAAATACTTCCTAACATCCCTGTGATTCATCTGTGTCTTCAACTTCCAACTGTGTCCCCTTGTTGCTGTGTCCCATCTCTGGAACATCCTGTCTTTGTCCACCTTGTCAATTCCTCTCAGTATTTTGTATGTCGTTATCATGTCCCCCCTATCTCTCCTGTCCTCCAGTGTCGTCAGGTTGATTTCCCTTAACCTCTCCTCGTAGGACATACCTCTTAGCTCTGGGACTAGTCTTGTTGCAAACCTTTGCACTTTCTCTAGTTTCTGTGTGTGTGTGTATGTGTGTGTGTATGTGTGTGTGTATGTGTGTGTGTGTGTGTACTCACCTACTCATCTCATTGTGGTTGCAGGGATCGAGACTCAGTTCCTGGCCCCGCCTCTTCATTGATCGCTACTAGGGCCTCTCTGCTTTCTGAGCTTTGTCATACCTCGTCTTAAAGCTATCTATGGCACCTGCCTCCATTACGTCACTTCCTAGGCTATTCCACTTCCTGACGACTCTATGACTGAAGAAATAATTCCTAACATCCCTGTGACTCGTCTGAGTCTTTACCTTCCAACTGTGTCCCCTTGTTTCTGTGTCCCCTCTCTGGAACATCCTGTCTCTGTCCACCTTATCTATTCCACGCAGTATTTTGTATGTCGTTATTATGTCTCCCCTGACCCTCCTGTCCTCTAGTGTCGTCAGTCCAATTTCCCTCAACCTTTCATCGTAGGACATTCCCCTGAGTTCCGGAATTAGCCTTGTTGCAAACCTTTGCACGTTCTCTAACTTCTTGACGTGCTTGACCAGGTGCGGTTTCCAAACTCGTGTTGCATACTCCAGTATGGGCCTGACGTACACAGTATACAGTGTCTTGAACGATTCCTTACTAAGGTATCGGACGCTATTCTCAGGTTTGCCAGGCGCCCATATGCTGCAGCAGTTATCTGGTTGATGTGTGCTTCCGGAGACATGCTCGGTGTTATGGTCACCCCAAGATCTTTCTCCTTGAGCGAGGTTTGCAGTCTTTGTCTACCTGGACTATACTCTGTGTGCGGTCTTCTTTGCCGTTCTTTGTTTGTGTGTGTCTGTCTGTGTCTGTGTCTCTGTCTCTTCCGTCCCTCAATCTCTCCCTCCGTCCCTCCCTCACTTTCCCATTTTCTAAACGCTTCCATACCAAGTTTCAGTACATGACAAACTTTTATTTTTTCATCCCTTTTTTTTAATTACCTCGTTGTCTGAACCCGTAATTAGCTCCTACCTTGTTTTAGTAAAAGTATTGTTGACGTTAATGAGGAGAGACTGGCCCCGTCAGCTCTATAAGCAAAACTAGAGAAGCTTGTTTAATTCAGTACATAACTGTGATCGAAGGACTCCCCCATAAAAAAAAATGAGATATTCAATCATTAAGTCTAAAATGGTTATGATTATAACCAGAATTTTTAGAGGGGTGGAGTGGTAGTCAGCCAGCGGAAGGCCTCGGTCAGATGACCGAAAGCTCCAGCTGCTGGGTCATCGTATGACTGAGGCCCGTGTCAGGAAACACTTTCCTGTTTCCCGATAATAACTTTATGTATACCAAATTTTAGGTATGTACATCTTGGAAGTATATTTCTCTCAGTTTGGGTAAGTATGACGAAGCGTTCACTTCCAGTCTTGTTTTAGGATACGGTCATCATTGACGTGTCAGGAGTAATTTGCTGACAGATAAGTATACGATAGCTTTCATCAGTCCTTGTTTTTGGGATTAACAGAACGCATCACCGTGTCAGGAGTCACTTGTTGCTGACAGAACACCATCACCCAGACCAGTGTCAGGAGTCACTTGTTGCTGACGGACAGAACACCATCACCCAGATCAGTGTCAGGATTCACTTGTTGCTGACAGACAAAACACCATCACCCAGATCAGTGTCAGGATTCACTTGTTGCTGACGGACAAAACACCATCACCCAGATCAGTGTCAGGATTCACTTGTTGCTGACGGACAAAACACCATCACCCAGACCAGTGTCAGGAGTCACTTGTTGCTGACGGACAAACACCATCACCAGCATGTCAATTATTGTTTGACACAGACACATCAGGCTATAGTCGTCACAGCAGGCTCTCAAGATCCTGTTTTAAGACATGCAGTAAATTTCCCCACGGGACGCCTTATTTCATCAAAGTTGTCAATCTCTGGACTCTGCTCACAACACCACACGGGTTTGGCGCACGTTAGGTTACAAGTAGCAACTCAGTACAGTGTGCTTCCAGTACTATTATGTATCTTTCCACTTGATTTCTTCGAGGTGGTTGTGGCCTTGATGCTGGGGAAGGGCTCTTGATCCAGGAAATTGTAGATACCCTGTCCTTCCTTTAGTCAGATTTGATTATCTTACAGGTTTAGCGGTTCCCCATGAATATACAGTATTGAAATTAGTGACGAAACGCAATAATAATGATAATAATTTAAATTTTATATATTTTACTAATCAATTTTTATCGAGATTATCTAATTTATTTATATAAAAATTACAGTGTTTATTGAATCTCGAGGATTACTTGCAGGCAATTAAAACCCAAGCTTCTGCCCTATAAGAAAGGATTTCAGTCCTATACTGGGACGTTAGAAAGAGGATCAGATTCCTTAAGATGGGATCCTAATTTTCATTAAGGAGTTTCGAAGAGTATAATTGTATAATACCAGGGACTGAGAGAGTTGGATATTTCTGCGATGTTGGGATGATGGTGATTGTGATGGTGGAGGTGAGAGTGGTGGTGGTGCTGATAATTGTGGTGGGTGTGACGATGATGGTGGTGCTGGTGATTGTGGTGGTAGTTGTGGATAGGAAGGGTAGTGGTGCTGGTGGGAGTGGGTAAGAAGGATGATGGTACTGGTGATTGTGGTGGTAGTTGTGGATAGGAAAGGGTAGTGGTGCTGGTGGGAGTGGGTAAGAAGGTGTGGTCTGGTGATTGTGGTGGTAGTTGTGGGTAGGAAAGGGTAGGGTGCTGGTGGGATGGGTGTGAAGTGGTCTCTTGTTGTGGATGGATATTCTCATGTCGTTCGATAAATGTGTAGAGGTGGTGGATAACTGTGATGGTTGTGATGGCAGCTCTGGGTCAGTGGTCCATCCGTCGCGTCGTCCACTTCCCATCCATCCGTCCGTCATTCGATAAGAACTCAAGAGGCACTATAGTCACAAGACTGGAGGTGTGCAACTAGGCACGAACGCCTGGTTGTCATATAGTCAAGATACGAGACACTCAGCAGACAGTGGCAGCAACACACCGAGGAATTTGTTTATTTTTTAAAAATATATTTAAAAATATAGAAAATTTTAT